GTAGGCGACTTTTTTAGGACTTCATCGAAAATGTAATGAACGCAAAAGAGGCTGAAATATTGCTATGCTCCTTCTTAGCAGAACGTAATTTAGCATTTTCGACAACCGACCTCCTTACCAAATGTCTACAAGAAAAAAAAGGTTTCAAAATCAACGCCATTATTTAGCTTCTTTAAACTTGCACATTATTGCCCTGAAATTTAATGGGCTATCAAACTGCATATTCAAAAACATTCTAAAAATCTTAATAAAAAGTTGAAAATCTAGCTGAAGCTTTGCGGATTTTTTATAAATTTTTGCACAACGTTTGAAATGTGGATTTATATTTTGTTTGTCATCTTTGACACGTAAAGTTAAAAGGGACCTACGATCAGAAAAAATCGGTTTTCACCTTTTCATCGACTGTTATAGTAAACGGACCACTCTTTCAAATGCAATAAACCGCAGCTTACTAGCTGCATTAGTTTTTTCACAATTTGGTGTCGCTGATTACGAATCCGATGTTCGTTTTTAAAAATTCAAAATGGCGGATCCAATATGGCGGAAAAAATTTAAAATTTTTTCGGATTCATGTGAAAATCGAAAATTTCGTTGACACCGAAAACGAGGTCAGTGATTACGAATCCGATGTTCGAAAACCCCCGAGTAACGAGTTTCAATCCATTAAAACGTTCAGAAGCATCAAAATCAACTTGGTAAACTTCAAAGTCGTTTTTCTCGAAATCTTTTTTTCTGAGCGTAAGTCCCTTTTAACTTTACGTGTCACATATAATAAGCTTGGCCTTTATGGAAAAATAATAAACATTAAATAAACAAAAGAGAAACAGCCAAAATCGATCAAAGTGGTGATGGCTTAATCAGCTGCTCACAAGTGTATGTATAAAATGGTTTTTATATTAACGATCTCAAAGCAGTTTACAATGAATTTTAAATGTGGTCTGTCAAAATGTCATGTTAATATACCTTACGTACATATATACCTTTGTATCCAATAAAATTTAACAAGAACAATTTTTTGTACATTCGTTTGAATAAAGAGCGAAATACACCACACAAGCGGTTTGACAAACCAAGCGAAATTTCCCTTTGCTTCAAGCCATTTGTGCTGTGTATGGGGGTGTTTGAAGGTTTGACAAACCGCTTGAGGGAAATTTGAGCAAAAATCAAAATTTTTTGATTTTCTGGCCGCCATGTTGATGTTTGATCAAACCGCTTGCGTTGTGTATAGCAAAATCGCCTCATTCGCAACGAAATTTTCACCGAGTAAGGACGTAAGAGAGGAAAATGAAAGAAAACCATAATATTTAGCATTGCGAACTGGAAGAAAACTAAAATTCTTTGCTTGAACGAGTCATGTTTGCATGGTGTATGGCGAAATGGGAAAAGTAGGTTTGAAGAATGTTTGACAAGCCGCTTGTGTGGTGTATTTCGCTCTTAAGTTGCAGTGATTTCGAGTGTCGGATAAAGGGTGCCTGTAGAGGTCAATTTAAATGTTTAGTGTTAAATTAAGGAAGGTGTAACTAATGTCATTAAACATTATTTCGCCAAGTTAATTGACTGTGAGTTGAGAATTATTTTATTCAAAGAGTATTTTCTTAAAGTGAAAGATAGTAAAAAAAAAGGAGTTAAGACGTTATGATGGGCGTGTAGAAATTTTAATCGTTTTATGAGAGGTGAGGTGAAACGGTACTGTTTTGGTAATCGCCAACAAAGTTTCGAAACATAGTAGGTTGATTATCA